TTTCTGTCCTTTGCACTTACGTCTCTGACCTGGCTTTACGGCACTATCTCATATTCTACATGCATGCAGGTTGTAGCTGAATAGACAAAATCCTCTTTCGAAAACTTTGCCGAAGTGTCATGAGAATTCTCACCTGCTGATTCATTCTGATTGGAATCAGTCAGAGAATCATAAAATCACAAAGTCAGGAAGTCGCCTTCAAGGGATTTAGATGCATTTAGAACAGTGCCAGCATTGCAAGCTTCTCTCCTCCCGTTATTATGGGCGTAATAATGTGTCTCTATACCAACAGGAGCCTCAATATTTCCCTTAAGTAGGCAAAAACACTGCTCCGAGGCTGCTGATATACTGATTTTGCCGAGTAGTATATAAGAAACACAAATGCTTCCGGATCTTGGCTTTCTTAACATTATGCTTGACGGCTACACACATTTCGGCGGATTCATAATGGTCCAACCTAAAATCCCGAAACAGCAAAATGCTTGCTTTCCCTCAAAAGGCACGAGTGTCAGGTTCTTTATCCACCCGAGAAATATATCTGAGAGAATGATTCCAACATCTCCGCTAGAAATTTATTGCTCCAAACAGCCATTATGGATTTCATTATAACACAAAACCGAGGAGACTTTCAGTGACAGGAAGAATAATTTTATGAAGAATGAATCACGGGATAATTTACAACAAAAAACCAGGAGTTGAAGGGGCACGTGCCAATAAATAAAAACCGAGTTTTCACCCCCGACTATCGTGTCAGTATTGGTACACACAATCAGAAATGTCTGAAATGAGGTTTCCACTGGTTACAGGAGGAAACAGCCGGACAGCAACACTGGAAATTATTCTGGTCGGCAATTTTTAAAAATGGCCTTTTAAAACTACACTTTAATCAAAAGCCGGCCTTCTCAATTAGGACGGAAAACCACACTGAATTTTCACAGTTGTCTGGCTGAGAACGTTTCATCCAGACTTGTGATGTCGCGTTTATCACACATGCCCTCGAGCTGAATTAACGACTGGGACTAAACGACCTACCAGGTGGTTGAGATGTAAATATTAATTTTTCTAATTCAGATGGCGAGGACAGACGTTTAACGGCATACTGAAGAATAATGGGCTACTTGAAAAATTTTTTCAAAAGAAGCCTCTTTTGATTTTAACATAGCAAAGCATTTCAGCGAGTCATACTTCTCGGTATATCATGACCAAAATATGAAACAAACTTAAACAAAAGCAAGCAACAATATCACACACATTGTGACTTCTGGTGTAGCGGGTTAGGTTTTTATTTTATTGATCTACGGATGAAATAGGAAGCTGACAGAGATGAAAAAATATGAAAGATCACTGTGTTGCCTTTTAACACGGGGTATGACGACAGTCACACCAAATCCGACAAAGCGACTTCCTGATCTATCTACTTGAACTGAATGAATACCTTTGCTCCGAAACATGCAATAAGCGAACTGTCTGACCACTATGCTTTCAAAATTTGATAGCCGTTATTGAGGAATAAATATGATAGGCAACCAAAGACGCAATACAAACGACGGATAAATGTTTAAAAATGCACTCCTTTGATTAATCACAAAAAGTGACTGGAGAGCAGTGAAGAAAGAAGAACATGGCACAGATCTCGAAAAGTTATCAGATTAAAGACTGATGACTAAGGTAGATGACATCGACCGTTGTCAGAAGGGATGGATTACGTAGGGGGGGGGGGGAGTAGCTAAAATTAGAGCATTCAAACATTCCTAGTCTGAAAACACTCCGAGCTGTTTTGCGGTCGTTTGCAAGAAAACATGCTTTGATGAATACGTGAAAAGTCCTTAGTTACCTCGTTAAATAAACAGCAACTGGAATTTTCAATGTTTAGATCTCTGCAGAAATAAGTATACTCACGTTAAATAATTCCTTCAAACAAGCCTTTTTAGGATCATTAATATTATGCGCTTATCCCACCGTGGCCGATGAATTTCAGCTTTAGTTTTCATATCGACTTCCGGGTTGAGCTTAAAAAGGATTGGCTTCCATAAACTGAATTTAAATGTTAGCAGTAACCTCGAGAAACATTTAAAAATTAAAGTTTTGAAACTGAGGTGTATGCCAGAAAGCAAAAGGGAAGTGCTCGAGACGCATTGATGAGCTGAACCCTTCTCAACTGTGCCAGGCAGCAGCAAACGATCGGTGGAACCTGTGTCCTTCCATTTGGTCAATATCTGTTCTGTCGTCATGATAAATCAAGCATAATTGTTAAATGGAAGATACATGGCTCTCCATATGATGACATATTGGGGCCCTGTGTCACTAAAACGTCCCACGCGGTAGATGCTGTGGTCCAACACTCCGGTGCGGTAGGAGGCCCAGTTGCATGCCCACGTAGCGCCAATTGGGATCCCTGCCTTCTTCCGAATTCTTTGTTGGTTAAAGTCCTGGTCAAGCGGTTATTGCAGACCAGGGGCTGTGGTTGTACGCCCAGATGAGGGTTTTTGCCGTACCAGTCATCTGGGCCTTTCTCCATCCCCGATCTTCTTGACTATGTCTCGACACCCAGCTAAGGTGGGAGTTCAAAAGAGGGTAAATTGAATGCGGCGCAAGTTTCCTATCATCCTTAACTAATTCGGACTTCTTGACGTAGTCATGGCACCGGATCCAGGTAGAGAGTTGGGAAAAGAGAGTGCGGTAGATGCTGCGAAAGTCTACTACCACCATAAACTAATTTACGTGAAAGTCGCCGCTCCTGT